AGGCCCAGCAGGTTATAAGGCCCGACAGCCATTTTACCTTCATTTTTTAAATTATAATACTGGGGCTGCCATCTTATGATCTTACTAGGTAATATTTAATATTCGATAGAGTTCCGCCTTAATAACATGTCGTTTGCGATAGTAAATACAACAAGTGTTTCGACAACAAGTTTCTTTCGTGAAATTATAAAAATTGTGGTATTTTCCTAGAGCTGTGCCTAAAAAGCGTTTATTCAATTGCTGCGCCATTACAGGTATGTATCAATAGACATATTACCAATGTTTTCCTAGAAAATGATTGGTTTTGTACTATGCATGTCTGAGTTATAACCTTAAAACAAGGATCGTTACAAAGCAGGTAATAAGGCCCACCAAATAATGAAACTGGGAAGAAACCCCAAAAGGAGAGCGGCTCGGCAACAAAATGCAAGAAGAAAGCGAAGATCAGTCAAACGAAGGCCACTGTAGAACCATCGACCTCGACAGAAAGCGCAGACGCCAACCCCGAGGAAGATTGGTCCTGCAAGCTTTGTAAACTGGATTTTAGGCTGATGTGCGTCAGTGTGCCATGCATGGCACATGTGCCTCACCTGGGTTCATGAAAAATGTGTCGGACTGACGCCTGAGGATGAAGATGTGTTTATTTGTCCCAAATGTGCACCCTGAATGGATGGGCTTTATTATCTGTTGAGCATGAAATAAGGCCCATTAACGAGTTTTTTAAAAACCTAAGGATTTTTCTTTTTGTTTATTTCATTTGAGTTTATAAATGTTACAGTATATAGTTTAAAGTTAATATATGTTTTTGAAATAAAAAAAATAAAAAATGTACACATTTTCTTTGTTTTTTTAATATAATGCGTTAGGTGGGCCTTATTACCCGCACTTATCTTAGATTCAATTTAAATAAACACAAGTAAACTTATATTTGAATAATTTAAATCAAATATAAGTTTACTTTTGTTTATTTAAATTTAATCTATTATGTTTTGTGGAAATTAATTATTAAGAGTATAATATTTTTGATTGAATGATTATTTTTTTTGTGTAAGCTCTTAAAATAGTAATTTATTTAAAACAAACATAGAACCGCTATTAAAATACTTATTTATTTAAAAAAACAGAACTGTTTAAAAAAAATACAACGGTAAGCTACATCAAAGTTTTTAGTTTTTTAGGGCGCCTTAACATCTTGTTTTCTTGCAGCTATAACATTATTTCCAAGTTGCTTGTAATTAGATAACAATATTTTGCAAGTGTGTCGGTTAACAGCTTATTACATATGCAAGTATCTTAAAACTGTTTTTACAAAAAATATTGTAGTTCATTATACACATGCAGTATTTTGGCATTCAAATTGTTAAATATACTCTTCTTTTATAAGGCTATACAATAAATAAAAGAAACATAAGCAATATTATATAAAAGTAGACATAACTTTAATAATTATTATAATTGACTTTTGGGGAAGGGACAAGACAATTTTTTTTTCTGCTGAATAAAAAAAGGGGCAGCAAGTGTTTTTGCACAGAGAGGCAAAAAACCTCGGACCGGCTCTAACAATTCATAATTTATATGACCGCAATACTACATTAATTTTCCTGTTGCCTGTTAGGAACGCAACATTTTCTTGGTATTTTTTATTTATTTATAATGTTATAAAAGCAGCAAACTAATGCAATATTTAAATCAATGTTAAATCGAGCGATATTCAAAGAAAAGCAATAGGTAATTTATATGAAACTGTCTTGTATTACCGCGATTATAAATTAATTTGCTATTGCTGTCGGCCTCCTGACGTCACGCCTCCAACTATCAAACTCTTGCCTAGTATAGAGAACGCCGCGGCGTCCCCAATATTTTTATTAATATAACTGATAACTTAATACTTACATAAACTTAGTAGGATTTGATCAATAAAAAATATTTTGATTGATTTTGGCATTGCTAAGGGTATTGTAGACCTAGATGGCGTTAATTTACTTAAGCCTTTTGCCGCTAGCGCTAGTGCAGTTTCCAATCTATGGGGTGTATTATCTTTGCGATGGCCCACTGGGCGGGGCGCCGCACAGTGGGGGGAATTTAAAAAATCGCGGACTAAATTAGGGACACATTATTTTATACTATTTTAAGGTTTATGCGAAAGTTAATTTCTACTAAAATTTCTGACAAAATGTTTTAATTATGTACAAAAATTCACAATATTTTTATACACAATTTGGAAGACTTTGGTTTTGTCGATCTTCCATTCTTCAAAAATATAAATTAATAAACAAATAAATTACGCAATATTACCTAGGCTAAAAATAGAAAACTAAACAAATAAACAATAACAATTAAGGAACATTCGAGCAAAATCACTTATATCCATTTTTTTCTTTGTCAATTTCGCATCTTTAGTGATTTGGCCCAAAAAATGATGTTAAAATTACATTTAAAAGTTGATTTTAGAGCAAAAGCCGTTAAATCCACGTTTTTTACTTGATCTAGTCGGAGGAATTACTGATAATTACGTTTTTACCTTGTAAAATAACTTCTGCTAATTAATATAACTTTTTTGTTTTATTTTATTTTTGCACTAAGAATATGTGTACTTTTAAAGTTTTATAAGAGCGTTAATAATATACAAATACACGAAGCGATTGTATGTTAGACTGTCACTCGAAACTTTTAAAACTAGCAAAAGGCAACTATGATGACTTATAAATAATCGACTAATATGACCAAACAGGCAAAGAAAATGATGAACGTTACTTTGCCTCACACCAACACACACCTAAAGAAATATCTTCCGATTTGTAAAAGATTTATCTTCGTTGAAAGGCAATGGTAAAAGGTTTAGAAAAACCTTATATTTGGTAAAATTTGTAATTTTAGACTTTCATATGAAAGAACAAGGATAAGGAATGTGGTAAAATATACCATAATTTCCTTTCATTAATTTTGCAAAACAAAAATGGGCTTAAAAAACTTACATCCAAATTGCTCTAAAAAACCGGCACGAACAATGTGATTTTTTGGGCTTCCTTTTTTTATAACTCGCAATTTAAAATTTGCTATGTTGATTTGCACAAAATAAGGTTTTGTCCGCGGTTTTTAAAATTCCTCCCAGTGTGCGCCGTGGGTTAAGCGTTTTAAAATAATGCGGTGTTGGCAACACCGTGTTGAGGACCTAAATTGCACACACTGTATATTTTATATTGACGTTCAATTTTATAATAATAATTTATAAAACGATGTGGCTCCCGTCCCGAGGCGGGACTTAACTTCAGTCCCGATTGACGTCACACACTGTAAATCGGTTTTTATTCCCCGAGATTTTATAATTTGTGTCAAGCTCGATGGCTTAGATGGTAGGGCGGTCGAAAATTCCATTCAAAATTCTAACTTAACATCACAAATTACACATATCAGACACTTAGACAATCACAACATTAGACACGGCCTTATATACAGGAAATTACCTATTTTTCTTCAATAGTCGCGCTTGCCTCTAAATCCAAACCTACTATCCAAAGCGAGGTTTTTTATTAATTTTAATTTTCCTCATTTATTCATATTTAGGTTTTTTCAAAATTTTTCCTAGACATATTCGGCACTTATAATCTTCTTTTTCCTCTTGTACTATCCCCTCTTTCTTCTATTTAATATTAGTTAAAAATATATCATAACTTTTAAGAAGGTTTTTTCTAATTTGTTTTTCCTTCAAATCACTCACTATTTTATTTAGTCATATCTTCACCTAATCTTCCATTACTTTTTCGAAATTTTTTACTGAGTATCTTCCCCAAAATCGCCTTGCGAGTAAAAGCGGAACAGCACTGAGTAATTTATAATAAACTGGGCCCCTATGTGGTATAAAGTCCAGACAGGGAGGTTAATTACTCAAGTTTTAACCTTCCTGTCACTTCAAAATTTTCACACTTTATTCATTCCTCCACTTTTACACTTTTTTCATATTTTGCCCTCTCTCGATCATATACCCTTGTCAGGATTACCTCAAAATTACCAAAATTACCAAAATTATTAAATTCTCTAAATTCAAACCCCCTTTGTACCTTTATACCTTTATAGTTAGGCCGTTTACAAAATTTATTATGTATTATTGTTAAATAAATTAATTTGGAATTTGGAATTTTTTTTTTTTTTGGTCGCTTGGCATGCGAGAGGTACCGGGTTCGATCCCACTAGAAGTTGTCAAACTTTTTTTATTTTTTTTATTTTATAAATTTGTTGTTTCTTTGTTAAAAAGTGTTTTATTTTTATCGTAACATAAATTTGCCCATTTTAGTTGGGTTTTTTGCTCAATGGGGCGGGGGGCCCAATGGGGCGGGGTCGGTTGGGTTGTGTTGTTGAGTTTGGGTTGGTTTGGTTTTATGACGTAACTAAAGTGCCCTTAACATGTATACAGGTACAATTTATTATTATTATTTTATTATAACATAACAAATCTTAAAATTATGACGTCAATCGGGACTGAACTTAAGTCCCGCCTCGGGACGGGAGCCACAGCGTTTATAAAATAGAAGCATAAAAGTCTATTAACGTCAAAATAATATATACGAGTAAATATTATAACAATTTAAATTTTCTTTTATTTATAATTATTATAAATGAAAATTTAAATTGTTTATTCCAATTTGTTACCTGAAGAATTCGTTTCATAAAAGTAATTTATACAATAACTTTTTTTAATAAAAGTAATATTGTTTTATACTTTTACTTGATAGGCGTAAATGTATAAAATATTGAAAATAAATTTCGTTATTTAAACAAATTATAATATATTTTTATAAATTTTATATATTCTGGTTTTATTAAATTACCCCCAATAAATGTTAATAAATGAACGCTATTTATAATCGTATTATGATAATTTCGTGATAAAAACTATAAATAATGTGGCAAATATTTAATTGTAATTAAGGCATTGAAATAAAATTTTTATAAGCAATAAATAAATTTTATTACATAAATATTCAGTATTTACAATAGGGACAGGAAATTAACATAATCTAGTGGTGGTGTCTGTAGGAACCGTCATCGTACAATTTCTCGGTTATATCGTGTACGTAAGCTCCTTCAAGTCCAGAACCAGCGACAGTCAAACCGTATGGAGAGTTGGCCAATGGTACAGCTCTAGCTGGTTCGACGTAAGCACCTTCGAGTCCGGAACCAGCTGGGGTCAAACCGTATGGAGATGCGGCCAATTCAATAGGTCTAGCTTCTGGTACATAGGCACCCTCCAAACCGGACCCAGCTGGGGTCAAACCGTATGGAGATGGGGCCAATTCGATAGCTCTAGCTTGTGGTACATAGGCACCTTCCAAACCAGAACCAGCTGGGGTCAAACCGTATGGGGATGGGGCCAATTCGATAGCTCTAGCTTGTGGTACATAGGCACCTTCCAAACCAGAACCAGCTGGGGTCAAACCGTATGGGGATGGGGCCAATTCGATAGCTCTGGCTTGAGGTCTGTAAGAACCATCATCGTGAAGTTTTTCGTTCAAATCCGGAATCCAAGCTCCTTCTAATCCATGGCCTCTTGGCAGGACAGCCACAGGGGCTAATCCAGCGCTAGCCGAAGCTAAGGCTCCAAGGACAATAAGCTGCAAACAAAATAATCACTTAGTTTTTACGAATAACAAACACTTTTAAAATATTAACACAATTGCACTGACACAAAGTACTTGTAATAGTTAGTTGTCGATTGCATCATACGGGATACTTACGAATGCTTTCATTTTGTAAGTCTTGCGTTAACCCGGACAAGTGGTGTCTAAACAAATCCGTGCTCGGGTTATATATCTCTATGCAACCTTGTCACACCTTTACATTTTATTATATTATTTTAAAGAAAGACAATTTGAAAATTTGCATAAAAAGGATATTTTTGTCTTGGTTTTATTATGTTCTGAGATTAATGAACTTGATTTCATGAAGATAAATTAAAATTAGTTTAATGGAGATTCCTAAAAAAAATTTATCATAAATCACTATTTTTGGTAACTAACATAAGTAACAATGGCGAAAATGATTTATGACTTTTTATGATTACGGTTGAAAAATATATATTTATTAACATTACAATATTGTAAAAATATTGGATTATTATTATTATTATTATTTTAATTCTTCTTCTACTTTATACGTTATTTTATCATAAAATTTTTGTCATAAAATAAACTAAATTTTGTATTTTTTTATACAAGTTGTCCCTAAACTTATTGGCATAAATTTAGGAAAAGATTGAGCAAGTCAAAATAAGACGAAAACCTAAATAAATATTTTTCCTAATTACTTTTGTTTCCAAGATACAGGGTGATAAAGTGTTACTTATCATATCAGTTTTTTTAATATATCTTCTACTATGGTAGTCTTGGAAAGGTGATATTTTGCGAACAGTCACTTACCACCAAAACACATATTCACACATAATTACAATTGTTTAAGTGAACACAGTGTCGTAGAAACGTGGGTTGATTTAAGCTTATTGTCCCATACAAACTTTGAGGTTAGGTTTTTATAACATTTGCAATTTTTCGATTACACAGTTCGGCTACCATTAAAAAGGAGTACCTCTCAAACTTCGATAAAATAAACCGTTTCCGAGATATTCGAGATTACAATAATTGTTATATCGCATTATTTAAAAGGATTAAAAGGTATATGAAAACAATTTTTATTTTTTTATTGAATAAACTAAAAAGGGCATTCCATGAGCCTAGGGACTTTTTGCCCTGACCGTCACATTAAAAAAAATTGTAATTTTTCAATTAAAAAGTTTGTTATCATATCGATGACTTTCTGCCAAAGTATCGCAAGCAACATAACTCAAATTTCGGGAATTGAAAACATTATTGTCTTAAAGTCTGTTTTAAATTAAATATATAGCCTAAAGGATTTATAACAAGTAAATGGCTTATAATTATAGCTATTTCCTTGTTATAAATCCTTTAGGCTATATTTAATTTAAAACCCTTTCGTACGAAATGTCCACTGGAGTGGACATTTTTTTTAACACCATTTATATTTTTAAATATTAAATATTTTGTCTCAAAAACATGTTGTCCATTATAGCGGACTAGACATAAAACACAGTAGATGACCGTATAATTACTTGACCTCTCTAAAGTAACTTTGTCCATTCCAGTGGACATGTCCTATTATGAAAAAAAATAATGAAAAAAAATTTTTTTTTCAAAAATATCTCAAAATAATACCAATGAATGCAACTATAACGAAAAAAAAAATTTTTTTTCAGTAATTTAAATTTGGCTCCGAAAGGGTTAAGACAATAATGTTTTGAATTCCCGAAATTTGAGTTATGTTGCTTGCGATACTTTGGCAGAAAGTCATATCGATATATGTACCTTTAATGCGATATAACAATTATTGTAATCCCGAATATCTCTGAAAAGGTTTATTTTATCGAAGTTTGAGCGGTACACCTTTTTAATAGTAGCCAAACTGAGTAATCGAAAAATTGCATCAAATGGTAAAAAACCTAACCTCAAAGTTTGTATTGGGACAATAAGCTTAAGCAACCCCTGTTTCTACGACACTGTGTTCACTCGAACAATTGTAATTATGTGTAAATATGTGTTTTAGTAGGAAGTGACTGTTCGCAAAATGTCACCTTTTCAAGTCTACCATAGTAGAAGTTATATTAAAAAAACTGATATGATAAGTAACACTTTACCACCCTGTATCTTTTAAACATACGTAATTAGGAAAAATATTTATTTAGATTATTTTGACTTGCTTAATCTGCTCCTAAATTTATGCCACTAAGTTTAGGGACCCCTTGTATAAAACTACGCTAAAATCTTTTTATAAATAATTTAAACAAATATACTTACCTATGTGAGTATATTTGCATAGGTTTACTTTTGTTTTTTGGCTAACCCTAATAACTTATAATTTTATGCTTACGTAGCGTTTTAGGAAATGTTGCAAAGGAGTTTTGCAAAAAGAATTTGCAGGAAATTTAAGTCAGATATACCTTGGAAAACATATGTCATGTTATTTTCATATTTAATATTTCTGATCACCTGAAACCAATAATTATCTATTAACGTGTTAAATTTAATGCGGTACTAACACGAATTATTTATTTTCAAATAATGGCAACTAAACAATGTTTAGTAAACATCTCCGCTTTTGAAGAAGAGAAAGTGATAATCCTATGCGAAACTTGGAAATCACTTAAGCATGTAGCAAGAACGTGGCAATGACCGGGTCAGTCAAGTTGCCCCCCAATCGTGCAAACAATCTCTATAATATAATAATTTTGCACACATTTTGCACAATTTTGCACACCCCTCCTTAAATTTTGTACACACCCGCTTTGGAAATGCCAAGAAAAATCATGTGGGGGGGGGGCAAACGACGCTTGCCCCCCGCTTTGCTCCGACAAACTCTACTTTTCGTCATCTTATCTCCTAATTTTGCACAATTTTGCACACCCCTTCCTAGCCCCCCGTGAATAAATTCAAGTTTTTATCCTATCCTGATCCTTTAATTTTGCACAATTTTGCACACCTCATTTCAAATTTTGCACACCCCACCATCCATCCATTTGATGTATTAGAGGGTTTGCACGATTGGGGGGCAACTTGACTGACCCGCAATGACCACCAAAAGTTCCGAAAACGTTGCCAAAACTGGTATACCCACTTTACGACTACTACGAAAGTTTAGACACTTTTAAGGGGGTGTAAAAAGTGTTTATAAACACTTTATAAATAAATAACATTTCAGATACCAAACTGATACACAAAAAAGTTATAAAACTAAAAAGTATATTCTGCTGGTGCAAATTACATGATTACAACAGTTCCTATGCTAATTAAATATGAAAAAAGCATTACGCAAACGACGTCAAACCGATATTTCCTGAAGATTATTTTCAAATAAATAAAAGAAATTTACAAGATATCTTGTAAACCTCTTATTTTCGCCAGGGTATTACATAAAAAAAATATATTATAATTTTATATTGTTATAACCCAAGTTAAAACTTTATTTTAAACTGTCATTTTAGGCTTAAAAGCATCGTTGCGAGAATGTTATAGGTACATGTAGTTATATGATTTTACCAAAATTAATTAATTAATTAAATCCGTTAACGCACAATTAACATAAATAATTATAATTATATTACTAAAAAGAAGTATGTAATACCACATTGGTATTAACAATATGTAAACATAACGTATTATTTCCCTGATTGAATACAGTTAATTTAAAATGTAACACTATCTACCTATACGTAAAAAAATGCACCAGTTGAACTTGAAAATAGCCAACTTGCTACTACTAAATTAATATTTAATTACCCAATTTATTCAAAAGTAAGAAATGCTTACTAAGGGCGTGTCAAGGTTGAACAATATATATACATATATAATAATTACCCACGTTAATATGCCGACTAAATCGAGATATTTTGCTCAGTGTAAACCACTTTTGTTGTGACATTAAAAAAATAGTTTTTTCTTGATATTAAAATATTTAGTGACGATTACAATGCATTGTTCAGGGGAAAATGATATCTAAGATTAATTAATTAATTAATTTTATTTTTTATTAATATATTGTGAAGTATAATTCTTAGGCTTATATAATTTGGCGTGCAGTGCACTGGTCTCATATTATAATTCACAACCTAAGTTTATAATAGATACGGTTTGCTTAAGGAAGAACATATTTAAAAAGGAAACATCCTGTACTTTACCTTTATTTTGTTGAATTTAAAATGTACAATAAGAGCAGAGTATCCTCTGCCCACACTTAACCGGGCTTTAAATAATTGCTACACTGCAGGGCCATATTACCCATTAGGCAGGCAAGGCAATTGCCTTAGGCGCCACGTAGAAATAGGCGCCTTGTCCCCAGGCAACTTAAAAAAAATAAAAATTGTTACCAAAATGTTTATTTTTTCCAAAAATAAAACAAATAAACAATATACAATTGTAAAAACAAAAAATTATTTACTGTTTTTATTATTTTATAAAAATTTAGCTTCCTTTGTAATAACGAGGTGTAAAGCCGACAAAAAAGCGTGCGGCAAATTCACTTCTGTTTTTATGCCAAATACATAACCCAAGTAACATTTTAAAATCCAAATTGACTTGACTTAGTTTTAAGGCAGTTTTATTATAGCGGAAAAAGTGTAAATTGTTTTAAAATGGGTTTTATAAATACTAATTACACTTCGAGAGGATATGGTTTTAAAAGGGAGTTTTATAGCTATCCTGAAGGCATCTCCTTAAAACTATCTAGCATTTAAGATCATTTGTTCTTAAAAATGACTTCATTTGTACTTATATCAAACCTCAATAAGAGTATATTATCTTAAAATTCTCTTAAAAGCAATGTGGTTTTATTAGTTCGAAATAAATATACTTTTGTTTTAAAATTGCTTTTATTTTTAATCTTAAAGTGTTCTTTGAGTTAACTTTTGTTGAAGGTAGGATTAAAACTCCTTTAACTTAAGTAAGAGTTTAATAAAACTATATTTTATAATACTCTAATTAAAATACACAATAAAACTAACTTTACTTGGACAAAACCTTTAAAAACTTAGTTGCACATAAGTGTTGCGGAACGTCATAGCTATAGCTTTGGCTATAGGTAAAATGACAACGTTTATGGATAATTTTCTTCCTAAAACAAGAAGTGGATACTTTTACAGAAAATGTAAAGTTAATTGTTAAAGTAATATTCAAAAAAGAAATGTAAAACTTTCTATTAATATTAAGTCTAACTTAAGTAGTGAAAATGGTACATGTAAACATACACATTAAGTAAGGTTAGGTTTCTAGAAA